TAAATTCCATTATTATTATTATTATTATTCCTGCTCTGTCATGTCAATGATATCCTTGATCCAACAAAAATTGCATTCCATTGTGTTCAATTAGACCCCTCTAGAGAGGATCCTAATCAGTCTTGGCTGTCTCCATCCTTTGAAAGCCAAATTCCGGTTTCTTTTATATCCACTTCATCTTTGTCCACCGAAAAGAAGTTTTTAAGGTATGCGACAGGAGCACTATCCTTATTAATAGATGCACATGACATAGCAAGATGTGATGCACCAGATTTTGTAGGTAAGACATGCAATTCACGTAAAATTTAATTCCAGTGGCCAAGCATTGCCTTTTTGCCATACCATCCAAGGGCAGTTGCAGCCTTGCTTCCATTAATTTTTACTTTTCGAGAATTAAACCACTGAACACTCCTCTGTCTATAGAACCACTGTCCGAGGGTCATTATCATGAGTGGGAGATGTGCGAATGGGTTGATGACATTTAAAAGCGTTGACACTCTTAGCTGTTAAAATACCCAACAGCTTTGCAAGAGACATACTAGTGGGGTACCATGTGTGCTTTATAGCTGGGGGGTTGTGTTTTGTCACTTTTTCTGAGGCATGCTGATCGTATGTGAACTTGCTGACCACAATAAAAGCACTCATGTTTTGCCAGCCACTCTGCTGCCCAGTGACCTACAGTCTCAGACAAAACGAGTGGGGACACTTACACTTGACACTGTTTTTTTTTTTACTTCTGCCCCATCTCCTCATCCTGCCAATGTTTATCATTTTAACTCACCAAATCTTGCACACCAACATTGGGAGGGCAAGGAGCCAACACAGTGTTCCAACAATATTGACTGAGACTAGCTTGTGGCAACGAAAACAGGAGTCTGTTAGTTGTGCTGTGGATGATGTCTTTCCTGTGTCCTGATTTTGAAACTTTTTCCGCATGTGTCGAATTGCTGACTCATCCTCTTCATGTTTGTGATGTATGCTGGACACTAGGATTTGACACGGGTGGTATAGTAGTTTAAGATGCTGGCCGAACAGATGGAGCTTGCGATGTATGTTGGATGCTAGGATATGGAACTACGACAAATAGTAGATGCCAAAATGTATACAAACTTAACAAAAATGAAGACATCTGAATGTTGTTCTTTTCAACAGCAGTTTCTTGACCCTCCTTCATTTTTACTGTAATTCTGCTGTTAAAATTGTCAGGGCCATAATTGGCCAATTGAGTGTTGCATTCATGCAGTGAACCCACTTTGTAAGCAGACAAAGTCAATGATGCCAACAACTGTTCCGTATTTCTCAGTTCACAGTGAAGTGCACAGAGATTAATGGATGATAAATCCTCTTCAAGCAGGAATTCCAGGTCATCAGGCATGCTTTTGAAACTAGAAAAAAAGCAAGAGTAATTATTTTTAGTCGTGGGGTTTATCTCTCCTTAACTGATACTTGACAGTTTTACAGATTTCAAACTCATGCATTTTACTTGACAGGTTTTCGGTCAGTTATGACAGTGGTCCTACAACATTGATACAAAGATTTAAATTACACCTACAGTGCAGGAAAACTGTGATATGTTTTCATGGGACAATAATTATATGCTCTGTAGAAAAAGAAGGCAGGGTTAACTGCCAACATTTTATAGGCAGGGGCATAAACCAGCATGTTTGTCCAAATAAAGTTTTTTTTGTTTTTCTTTTCCATGCAGTAGAACTTCTCCGTTTACAAAAGGCAAGGCCTAATTGGCAAAATATTATTGCTACAGTGAGGTCTATATAAAAAGTTAGTCTTTTATAGGAAACATACTTATTAAGCTCTAATGCTGGGGTGAAGAAGTTCATTGATAAACTGGGGAATTTACTTTGTTGAATGGAGGTTAACAGTATTGAGATACCCTTGTTTTGAAGGCCTTTTACAAGATACTGTGAATTCAAAGTGACAACTACAAATGCTGAAATTCATGAATACCTAAGGGCTGCATGCCTTTGTCAACAAGTATAATAGGAGCATTATTAGTAAACCAAAACTGTAACTAAATCTACCTTCCAAATATTAGCTTTGGACATGCTGAAGTGTTCCAAACAAACTTTATGGGCGCCAAGATCACAATTACATCCCTAATAAAACAACAATAAAAATACAAAGTATTGCGTTAAAATTTTGCCAATTAATTTGTTCATGACAGCATAAGAGTTCTCAATTGGCCAGTGTAGAAAATACATGATATAAATCCAGAGACGTATTTATTTGATTAAAAGGCCAACATCATAAATAGGTAAATATATAAACAAATAAAATAAACAACTAAGTAAATAAAAAATAAAGAATATATAGCCAAAAACTACAGTGAAATAGAAGAAAACTAAAGAAAAAATGAAAATACTGTATTGCATGTTTTTTTTTTATCAGGGCAGTCATCATCAATCACTATTGCTACATTTGTGGACCATGCATCCTTGCTTTTACTCTTTGTTGTCGTATCTTAGGCGTTTTAGCTAAGTTGCGTCTTAATGTGATGTTTATATGGGACAGGATGCGTGTTATTTTTCCCCGTATAGATGGCTTTATTATGAGCATAACTTATTATTGGCAACAAGAGCCTGATGCTTATTCAAGTCATTGTCCTGTTCTTTATGAAAACTGGTGTTGAATTTGGAATAACTGTTAACGTACGGGAAGACAATAGCCCTGACAAAAATTTTGGAATTGGAATCCATGTACGAGTCTTCGCTGTTGCCCTTAACTGAAAGAATGTGATCTACTATTCACTTTCCAATGCCATTTTCGAAGGAGAATGTAATGATTTAGAACCAGTGTGAGGAAAAAAACGTTGTTTACGATACATCATTGCATTGTTCTACAACATTTTAGTCCCAACCTCACAGTCAGTATATTTCTCGCCGTTAACTGGCCATTTTATTAAGCGCATCGTGGCATGCACCCAAGAGTTAAGAGTAGAAAACCCTCCGAAGTTCGGCCTTCTTTTGGAGATGTCAACAAATAAAACTTTACTCTCGAGCATTTCCATACACCAGTATCAAATCAAAACATACTCTAACCTCGAAAGCAGTGTATTATCTTGTTAGTACATTGTACCTGTGTCAATTGCTGTTTACTCATCTGATGCACTCTGATGAGGATGATGGCTCAAACATCGAGACTTGAAACTTATTACGATGGAGAACCTCATGTTGTACATCGAAAAGAAAAGTAAATGACTTAAAAGTTGTTATATTCTGATACAACAGGAAAACTCTTTTTCACAACAAAGAAACTACTTCAGAAAAAGAGGAGATATCTATCCTTCAGTTGGTTCTTCTCTGAACTGTAGCTGAACATCCAGGTGTCCTCCTCCATTTTGGTGAATGCCAGTAATGATGTAAGTACACGGGATGTCAGGAGGTTTCCAAGACAGTCATGAAAGCTTAAATTAAACCAGTGTCTAATCTGAAAAAGGTTGATGTTGTAGTTTTTATCAAGAACGATTGTTGATCAGAACAAATCATGCAAGTTTTCATGCAGTGACCATACCGTGATTAAAAGTGCTTATCTGTTGACCTTAATTAAGGAAAAACCTTTGCCACCACAGATACAGTAACACAATTTACCCAAATGCAGAGTGAAGGGTATTGAACAGGGTGTGGATTGAGAACGTTGTGATATGTTGCCACAGTAAGGTTCTTCAGTCGACAAAATTAGTTTTCCAACGTTATTTAACATACACTTAAAAAGGTACATCAATTTACGATCAAGTACAATAACAATGCATTTTTTGCTAGATGTAAGCATGCAAACTGATATTCAATGAAATAATCAAATTTTTGGACGCAAATGCTAATTTTAAATGGGCTCCTGCAAAATATCAGTTTGCTAATGAATTTCTTTTGAGTATTCCAAAAGCCAAAAGGAATGGTAATAAACTGAATGGAAAAATGCGGATCATTTTCAGTGTCCTGTTTTGTCCGTTGTGTGGTGTTAAAAGATAAAAAAAAGCAGTTAAAAATTTATTTCAAAATATGTTCCTTATTAAACTCTTAATGGCTAGTCCCAGTTGCGGTTAGGTTTATTTAGTATAGTGCAACTATGCATCATTCTTAAGCACCATCCAGCTACCATCATGGCTTGACTAGGTTTTATAATTGTCGAATAAGGTGATATACAGTAGTTAAAGCAAAGTTGTGGAAGCAGTTCCGCAGAAACAGTTCCTTGCAGCAGTCCAAACAAAGTGGGAATACCAATTTTAGTTAAATCAAGGTATGATTCTAAAACATGCATAATATCCTCACTTTCTTGTTTAAGTTCCCTCACACGCATTGCCAATATACCATGCTTGTATTTGGCACACTCGACACAAGCCGTCACAAGATGCCACAAGACATCACATACAGTCACCACCGTGACATACAGTCACACTTCGTCACAAACGGTAATAAACTGTCACAAGGCATCGCATACAGTCACATGCCGTCGCAAGCAGTCGCACTCTGTCACAAGATGTCACAAGCCGGCACAAGCCCTCACACTTCATCACAAGTCGTCACAAGCTGTTGCAAACCGTCACATTCCGTCAGAAGCCGTCACAAACAGCCACAGTCCATCACAAGCCGTCACATACAATCACATACCATCACAGGCAGTCACACTCGGCACAATCCGTCACATACAGTCACATACCGTCACAAGCGGTCACGCTCCATCACAAGATGTCACAAGCCCTCACACTCCATCACAAGCCGTCACAAGCTGTCACAAACCGTCACATTCCATCAGAAGATGCCACAAGCCCTCACACTCCGTCACAAGCAGTCACACTCCGTCACAAGACGTCACAAGCCTTCACACTCTGTCACAAGCCATCACAAGTCGTCACAAGCCGTCACAAACTGTCACATTCCGTCACAAGATGCCACAAGCCTTTAGATGGGGGTGGCAAGCCTGTAACATACAAAATATTATCTTTGATGGACATTATTGTCATATGTAATACGAAATTTTTTGGCAGTCTAAAATGAACCCAAATATAAACTTCTTGTCTTGTATAAACAGATATTACTCTCACCATGGTCCTTGCATGCATCTGAACAGTCAGCAGAAGGGTGATCATACACCGACTTGGCTCTTATTTTATCCATCTCAGACGTTACTTTCTCACGATCATTATCTTCTTTCATCAAACCAAACATGTCCAGCCTTCCTAAATCTCTTAACTCATTCTCCATTTCTCCATTAAAGAATGCTGCAGCAACCTTTTTTCCCCATAACCTAAACATAATGCAGATAGGAGTAACAATAACCTACTCAGCCATCATACTGTGCCGTAGGAGTAAATATAACCTACTCAGGCCTCATACTGTGCTGACCATGAAATTGGCAATTGCCCTTCCATCCTTGAGATTCTCTGGTCTCTAATAATAATATAATATAATAATACTATCTGCTTGCTGCATGATTAACGTCATCAGTTTACATATTGCAACACAGTTACACACTTCGTCATGAACTTCACCTCAAAAAAACCACTAAATGACACCCAGGAATTACATCTTGAAACAAGAAAAGGAATCGCACAATAATATCACTAACAGGGATTGAAATGCATAAATTGAAAAATAATCAGTTCCCGTTAAACGGGAAAAACATACGCCAAGGAGACTTGCCATTTCTGTAACTCTATGCTGCACAAAGCGAACATCTGAGCCTTCAATTGCGATTCGCGGTGAATCATACAAATTCCATCGCGAAGAAGGGTTTCTGTATTTTGAGTATTCGTAATAGATACCACATCGGTTGCACTTAAGAATTACAATGATAGAAATCAATTTTAACTGGTCTATTGTAGCTTTGCAACTGTGACTGGCAACGTAAACATCTATCACAGGGAGGAGATAATACGTGGGATGGATGATCAAGATCGTTGAAACTCAGGAACTTTGACAGCTTTTGTACACACTTGTAGAGGCAACGGAGGTCAGCCACATTCTCAGTTGGAAAAAGGATTTTCAGAACTTCCTCACGAAAGAGATCTGGCAACACCTGGAGAGATGAGGCAACACCAGCAATGGCAAGTACGAGAGTTATACCAAATTTCACGATTAGTGCACAAAGCACGTCTTCAGACACATGCTCTGATGATCAAGATCGTCAAAACACAGGAACTTTGACAGCTTTTGTAGACACTTGTAGAGGCAACGGAGGTCAGCCACATTCACAGATGGAAAAAGCATTTTCAGAACTTACTCGCGAAAGAGATCTGGCAACACCTGGAGAGATGAGGCAACACCAGCAATGGCAAGTACAAGAGTTATACCAAATTTCATGATTAGTGCACAAAGCACGTCTTCAGACACATGCTCTGCTTGATCAAGATTAATCGAGGAGACATCGGTTAGAATTTTCGATGCAATTAATTCATTTCTTCCTTCAGCTTTAATACCTCGGTATACATATATCTTCGGATTTCACATGGACTGATCATATTGAACACCTAACTAGGAAAATCAATCGCAGGCTTGGGCTTCTCAAGCGTATAAAGCATTTATTGCCTTTCAGGGCGCGTCTACTTTTCTATAAAAGTCTTGTTATGCCCCTTTTTGAATATGCCGATCTAGTATGGGGCAATAAACATAATATTACCCTTATGTCTAGTTTGCAAGTTTTGCAAAATAAGGCCACTAAAGTTATTTTGAATAGACCATTGTACTTATCCTCCACTGAGGCATTAGCTGTTCTGAAGTGGCTGCCTCTCGAGAAAAGGCGATTTCAAAGAAGGTGTGTACACGTATAAAAATGCATCAATGGCCTAATTAATCACGATATGGACTTGATTAGACAAGACGTACTTCATAGGCATAATACACGTAACAAAGGCAATTTTAGATTACCACGTGTCAAAAGAAATTGAGGGAAGCAAAGAACACAATATCATGCCGTTTCCGATTTTAACTCCCTCAGTCAGATGATCAAAGACTCAAGGAATGTAAATAGTTTTAAACGTAATGTTTTTAAGTTTTGAATATAGCTACTTACGTTTAATTTTTACTTATACTTATTTTTAATTTTTTATGCATTCTTTGTACCTTTTTAATCCCTTTGCAATTTTATAGCTTTTTTTGTTTTTATAATATATATCTAGTTTTGAGGTCCTTTTTGAAAACCATATCTCTTATGAAAAAGTTTCCTCAATAAAGATGATTATTTTATTTAAGCGAAGGCCTCTTCCCTTAAACTTTCAAGAGAAAAAGGCAGTGAACTCTTACGACGTTTTGCCATTTTCATTAAGTCAGAATTACCTTGTGCGTCAGTGCATCATGGATAAAAAATCAGCTAAGTCCAGTCTACCCCCCTGTTGTGACAGTTGTGACGGCGTCACATGCTTGTATATTGAAATTGTACAAATATATTGGGCACCAGATGGGGTATCCGGTAAAAGAAAATCAGGCCTGTCCACCATTACGGTAGTGGCCGGATTGCTGTGTAGAATTTGTAGCAACTGGTCCTTCCTTGGAGAAAGTGGCACGATGTTGTTGGGTGGTGGAGCACTGTTTGGGAGTTACATTACTACCAAGAGCTACGGCTATACTAGCAAATAGTTTTTTGTTGCTTGGCAAAGGGAGCGGATTGGATGACGTACTTCTGGTACAGTAGTGTCCCCTTCAGTCTGAATAAAATCTCCCATCTTTGTCAGATCAGGCAAACTGAATGCAGCAATGAATGTTTCCAAGTTACCCAACCTGTTTTCAACTGACGACAGACTGTTCTGAATTTGTGAGACCCTATTGCCCAGCATGGCCAAGTTAGCAAAGATGACAGCAATTTTGTTGTTAACAAATTTCTAGTTTATGCATTGAACTAAGTTCTGTGCTTTGCAACCTGTAATGCAACATCTGTGGCGATACAGTGGACAATCTTAATTTTTTGACGAGTGGAGGTAAAACAGAAAGGTCATAGCAAATAATTATGAATGATGCTACATCAGTAAGACATAAACACGCACATACCTGTGGTAAATCTAAACTTTCCGACAAGATGGGGTTCTGTACAGTACTGCAAATGATCCCTAGACTGCAAATGATCCCCAAAATGGACCACAAATGATTCTCGACCGCAAGTGATCGCCAAAGTCGACCCCAAATGATCCCGAAAGAAAAATAGGAACGACCTGGACTCAAGTTATCGGACCATCGTCTCGATTTTATTATTGTTACAGTAAGTCAGATTAAAAGCTAAATTTTACTTCTCAAATAAATATATGACTAAAAACTAAATGGAAAAAAATCATTCAAAGCAAATGTGACTTTTGCCGCTTATTTCATACTGAGAGGTCATGACATGCATTTTCTGCGATTATTGTTGTTTCTGGTCGGCATGATTTGCCCTTTGATGCAAGAGCATTTTCTTTGACCTCTTTTGAAATGTAGTCAGCTCTTCATTGCTGCTAAATAAGGGTTTTAGGTTGTTTAATTTTCTCCAAAGTGCCTGCTGGATCCGAATAATCATAAGCGATTTTCTTTTAGTCCGTGAATGTGACGGTTTCCTATGATGTTTTGTCACGCGATAACTACCGCTCGCCTGGCTTTGTGTTTCTCATTACCAGGTTTAGATTCCTGGTAACTGCCTTCAGCAAAGGCACAACAAATGAATATACATAAAAGCGCCAATATAACTATCCACAACACTTTCATGAGCTGTAAGAAAGTTGCTATTTCGAAATAAACCGAAACCTGTGGACATTGATAAGTTCGGGGGCATTTTGTCTCGTGTTTATGTTAAATCATGTCTTGTTTCCTAACGGGCACCTAAGTTACGAACAAATGTCTTGCTGTCTATCACGTGAAATTAACACTTAAGAGAAAAATCAAAATTAAATATTCTGGCTGATTAATTTCACGCTTTCAAAAAGATCAGGAAAGTCAATAAAGCTCTTGTTATGTAGAGGGTGCCCAGCTTTGTATTCCTCAGTAGAAAAGGTGAGCTTCTAGGCGTTAAAATAATAGTTTTTTCGGCGTAACGTCCTGCCTGTCTTAAATTTTGCAAAAGACGAAACATTCTAAAAAAAAAATTGAAGCAATCGACAAAGGAAGAAGTATACGGTTAATACCATACTTTTCAGATTTATTCAATTTTTTTTTCACCTTGTATAAATTGACCTGAGATGTAGCGTCCTCCTTCCCTTTTTTCTTTAAAAGGCGAGAGAAAAAGGATTCTTTTTTATAATCAGCCCTTTTTTGTAATCAGTCCCATAAAATCCATTCCATTTTGCGGTCGACTTTAGGGATCACTTGCAGTCGAGGATCCTTTGCGGTCCATTTTGGGGATCATTTGCGGTACTGTACAGTTCTCCTTATTCACGAAATCCCAGGTTCCAAAGTTGTGCCACCCCTGCAACCAACAACATCACAACCTCTGACACATTCCAGTACGAAACAGATTCTAGAGAGGTTATTCTGATGTACTTTTTGAAAGCATCAGATTTCCATCTACCCGAGTGCGTAATCTTGTCGTCGGGAACCCCTTGTTTAGCCGCATAAGTGGCAGCACCAATCCTAAAGCTGTCCTTTGTATCTATTGGGATCCAAGTTGAATAGCCGAATAACTGAGCCAAGCATTTTACTAAACTCGCTTAAAACTGTCTGTCTTTGTCCTGCATCCTCTTCTACCACCAATCCTTCGGCATCCACCTTTAAGAACCTCTTCATGGGCATTTCAAAGCCAGTGATGGACATTTATGGACAACATAAATATGTGATTTTCCTTGTTCCAATCAAAGCCCCGATGCTGATCTGTGTGAATTTTTCCTCGCGAAGCGAGGCGCAGAGCGCCAAGCAAAGTGAGTTTATAATCTCGTCGCACGCGAAGCGCGTGCACAGTGTGTGAACCGCGCGTGGGTCCTGGCAAGCTGCAAAGTTGCAGATTTCATCTTTATTTGTATATATCCGATGGTGTCTGCCATGACGTCATACAGTAGTTGACTTCACGGCGCATTTTTGTTTCTAGGCAACATTCGACTGAAAGCAATTTCAAATTCCTGTCAATGACCAAAGCACACATGAAGAGCTGTGTTTTCGTCGTCTGCAAAACAATGTTTACTATCGGTCAATCTCAGGCCATTTCTCATGCAAACAGAACAGCAAACAAGAACGCTGAATTGTCAATCCTCGCAGGGGAAGATATGACACCGAAAAATCCTCTGGAGCGAAGAACGCTGACTTGAAATTCAACGGCGCAAGCAACAAAGATGGATGGAGATGGTAGCAACAAACAGCAGAGCAGAGAGAACATCACTCAATGAATTTCAAATGCTAAAGTTCTTTAAGAGCAAATGGAAGCGATTTTGGATAATTAGCCTTATAAACATATGTGCGAACCTTGCTGTAACAAAACACGTTTTGTTCGCAGACGAGTTTGTACCATATCGTCCTAGACTGTTGAGCTTCCATTCTCTACATGTAAATGCGATTAAATGCATTTACGTTGAGTTTTCACTGTCCAAACTGCTGTTTTTCTTCTGAAAAATATCTTTGAATTCACGTTTAATAAGGCTCGAAGGTTTTAATAATAAAATTTCGACAAATCAGCTTGTGTGTTCCACGTGGCCTAGTGGTAAAGCTTCGGCCCGGTACATCAAAGGTCCCGGGTTTGATTCCAGACATAACCTTTTTCTCTTCGCTTCTTTTCTTTTCTTTTCTTCTTTTTTCACTTTTTGTTTTCGTTTAGTTTTAATTTTAGGTATAACAGTTTTGTTATGTTTTTATATATAGCTTAAAATTTTTAGATTTACAAATTTTCTTCTCTACTTGGCGTTCCCCCCCAGTCCTTCACGAGGTCCCGCGATTTACATATTTCTAGTAGATAGTTAAAAAAGTTCACATTTGCCGAGTTGGAAGCCATCTTTATCTTCACCAAAATGATGTTAAATCTGAGGCTTTGGCTGATAATGAGTGTAAGCTGCCTCTTTCGACTACAATGTTCGAAGGGTCAATTGAAATGATGGAAGTTGAAGATGACTTGGGGTTAGATGATCTAGATGCTTGTGGAACTTCTTAAAGGTGTCTTCATTGTTGAATTCTTTAGTTGAAGAAGCATGGCCACTGGCTATGCGTGACACAGTTTTTGTCGATATACCAACAACTTCTTCCTTTTCCTTGTTGTCCTTGTCACTTTCTGCATCACGATTGTCTGAGCTAGGGTCATTGAAGTCACTGAGAGTATGATTTTGTTAACCTCTCAATTGTCATTTAGTGACACATAGTCATGTAAGTCTGGTTTCTCTTCCTCTCTCACTGAGCTAGGGTTAGCTGGTAGCATTTTGGTGAAGAAACCAGATTATTTGTGTTCTCGCTGGGTCTCTGCACTTTTCATTCAGTGTGCATCCTGTAGGACCTCTCACCATTCCTTAGGGATCATCGTTTCAAGATTCAGGAACTACTGTATTGCAAATGGTAATCGTTGTTTTTTGGTCAGGAGAATGGAATCTGTCTCGCAAATACTGGTAATGAGACACCTTCCCTTCTCTCTTCATTCCTGTAACTTTTGGAAAAGGAAGGTTTTTGAAGGCTGTATTACCAAGTAAAGAAAAAACGACGGACTTTGTAACCTCTTCCTGTTGCATGTCCATTTTGAATTTCATCCACACATCGTCTTTTGCAACACAATCAGTTTTGTCACTCTTGAGAAATGAATTTTTCATCCACATTTGAACTTTGTCAAGGTCTGTGGCATTCCTAGACGGCTTCATTGGGATTCGTGCATTGTGCTTAAATTTGCCTATGTGACCCTTGAAAGACAACCCCCTGTAAACTGAGCAAAATCTTATGTTTTCTAGTCAAATACCTGGTCCACCACTTCATTTAAATGTATAGAAGTCAATCATTTTTTTTCAACGGTTGTCCTTTCAAACCCAATGAACGTGTGAAAAGCACTTCAAAATACTAAAATTAAATTTAGTTTAGGGTTTAGAATTACTCTTTCAAATCGCCAAGACAGTATAAACAAGTACATGTCATGCTTTGCCATGTTTGATCAATTTCAGTATTCTCAAGAGTTAACTCTTCTTCACTTCTATTGCCATTAAACTCACTGGACTGATAACTTTCATCCGATTTCCAGCTATCTGTCTCGGAGTCAGTAGCATCAGAAGCATCACCATCGCAAGGAGGTCGTGACATGTGTGTTTCTGTCAGGGTCAGCTTTAGCATATGCGCCTTTGCTGGCCACTACTTTCTTGAATTCTGTGTCAAGTTTCAACTGATTCTTTTTAAACCGCCGATCAAGTTCTTCCTTTATTGAGCCCTCATTTAGTCTCGTGAATAAGCTGACACCGCTTTAGGGCATGTACTTTGGCTTGTAGCTCAGCAATACTTGCAGCTTCTTTTGCCCTCACAACATAAGATCGACTGTATGCAGAACCACATCCAGATTGTTTCCTGTTCCTTAAACCAAGTTTTGAGACACTGGCGTCAGGAGTAGGCTTTGTACAGTATGCTTTTGTTTCCCCACTAAAATGCTCGGTCTCCCCAGAAGAAGTCACTAAAATGCTCACT